CGAGGAGAAGGAGCCGCCGGCGGACTGTCCCCTGGACAGCGAGCAGCTGGGCCGCAGCACCTGGGCTTTCCTCCACACCATGGCCGCGTATTACCCCGACCAGCCCACTGGCGCCCAGCAGCGGGAGATGAGGCAGTTTATCAACCTCTTCTCCAAGTTTTATCCCTGCGAGCAGTGTGCTGAAGATCTGAGGGAAAGGTGAGCAGCCTTATCAGTGTTTTTATGGGTGCCGCTCAAGTGCGGGACTGCGGTAGCTGTTTGCGTATCATCTGCTCTTCCTGTAATTGGGGTTTATAGCCATCTGAACTGGTTTTTCTTTTTTTGTTACTGCATAAATCATGTATATGCTTACTTTAAAAAAAAAAAAAGGCTTTTTCTAGTGCTGTTAAGTTGTGTGCTGCCTCCAAGACCTCCCAGAAGAGGTTTTGTAGTTTTTTTCTGGTTCAAACCTGACCTGACTAGTCATGGAATTAGACTGGGACTAATTTGGCTTTTGGGAGGTAAGTGTGTGCTTCTACCTCAAAAATGCACCTTTATTGGCGGTCTCAGCAGTGGAGCTAAAGACTGCAATGGGCTGTGATGTTTGGTAAAGTTTTCTACCCCTGTTACTGTCAACGTGTTTCTAGAAAACTTCAACTCCTATTTTCCAAATGACGAATGTTTTTAAAAATAACAAAAAAACTCAATCAGATAGTATGGAGTGGGTACTAATTTATCTTGGTTGGGGTGAAATTACGTATCATCTAGTGGCAACAGACTTTGTCATGTTGGGGGACATGGAATCGGTGATTTTCATCTCTAGAAAAGGTTCTCCTTAGCTGCTGAGAAGATTGAACAGTATTAGGCTGGCTAGTACAAAAACAACTGAAAACTTGAAGTAGTGTTTAGGAACACTTTACAGGCTGAGTGTAACTAGAGCTAAATATATTATAAGCTAGGCTGATTCTTTGACCAAAACGTAACCGAATAGAGCAAAAACATTTTTTTTCCTATTTGAAACCTAATTAATGACGAAAAGTCAGCAGGTATCACGCGGTAGAAAAAAAAACTGCTCGATGTTCTCCACTTACATGGTTAAGATTTTATTATTACTACTATGGAATGTATTAATATACTTGAGTATTTCCTGCTTCTCATGATGGATAGGCCGTTTGACTCCTGCATCTTTTCCAGCTGAGCACAAGACTAGGAGTTGAATGAAACCAATCTAGTTGCAGCTGTTGGGGTTTTATTGGAGAGGTGCAGCCTCTGGTGATTACCAATCTCAATGTGCTTGTTCTGAGGCCTTTTGGGGACTCATCTTGCAATAATGGAAGAGGAGACTCCAGCTATCTGTGTGCAGTATTCCTGCTTTGGGGATTGACTTGGTGAATGTAAAAAATCAATAAATAACTAAATAAAAATAACATGTATTTCCTCTTCCCTGTCTGCAGATTACGTACAAATCAGCCTGATACTAGCAACAGAAATAACTTCTGCCAGTGGTTGTGTCTTCTTCATAATGAAGTGAACAGGAAACTGGGGAAAACTGAATTTGACTGCTCTCGTGTGGATGAGCGCTGGCGAGATGGTTGGAAAGATGGTAGTTGTGATTAATCTGTAGAGAGTACTCGGGAAATTTAACAGACCTAATTCAGTCTGGTGTGAAGTCACTACATGGAGAAGTGCAAGTAAATGTGCGTGTGCATGTGTGCATGACTGATGTGGCTTGTGGAAATAAAGGTGAAACCAATTCTAAAAGACAATTTGAAAATCTTATCCTAAGAGTATTTTGATGAATGCTTGCATAGAATATACTGCCCATAATCTGAAGGGCTGAGGCCTTACCTTTGGCACAGGAATTGGCAGAAACCTGTGAAATTACGTTACTGACGAGCTTGTAGAGACTTTTTCATTTTTACATTTCCTTATTTTATGGGCATTCTGTGTCTAGAGTTTCTTCTCCCTGCCTGTAGTTGTAGGGGACTTCCCTTCAGCATTTTTCATTTATCTGCAAGCATTGGCTTAACGTTTTAGAAAACACGTCTCTCTTTTCATCTCTCTTTTACCTCTGTTGTTCTGATACAGCAAACTCATACTGTGTTTTGTGACAAGTCTGTAGTCCTCGATCTCTTTATCGGAGCTCTCCAGTGCTTGTTGTTAAACTTGCATCCTGTTAATTTGCTAAAATGCCTGAAGGCAGGTACGTTTGATTTAAATGCTAAGGTCACAGAACCCAGACCTCATTCCATCTTTGTGCCTCAACTTTTCACGTAAGAGGGCGTTGTTGAAAGGGAAGTTAAAGCATGGCAAAAAAGCCATTTGGGTGAGTGGAATGAGGTATCAACTGGGTGACATTCAAGTATTTTAAACTGATTGCAATTTTGTTTGGATTCAGGCAGGGTTTAATAAGGAGTTCTACTGAGCCACTTTCTCTTGAAGTAGTTTCCGCTGCTGCTTTCTTCTCTGCTGTGAACTCTTGTCAGTTATGGAAATAACTCTAATGATCTGAGACAGACTGATACCTGTTATGAAGTGTGTTCGGATTTGTTTAGCATACAGTATTTCTGAGATGTCATTTGTGTTTTGAAATTCTTGACTGGTACTTGCTGACAAGATTGATGCTCTGGTGTACCCCTAGCTAAAATGCCTCTAGAACAAAAGGACTTTATAAACCCGTGCAGCGTTTGAGTTTTGCTTAAGACTGTGATGCTAGCTTTACGTAATATTTATTGCACAGGATTCAAAGTAGTCTCTAAAGTAGATTGCCTCCCTAGAAAGCAGTCAGAATCCTTACTATATGTATTTTTCTTAGGTCATCTATACTGCATCAGCATGTTACTGATATATGTGTGAATTTCAGATTCAAGTGAAATAGTATAAATGATTTATACCACAATGTATTTATAATCAGTTTACGAAAGAGTCAGAATAGTTTCATGTTCTTAAAATAGCAATATGATGCCCTTCTTATTGCATTTCTGGCTATGAAAAGTTTGCAGGAGTTTGC